GTAGGGAAAAAAAGAATTACCATTCTTTTTTGTAAAATGTTCTTTCGTGATGTTTTTTATTGATTTGATTAATCACTATATTTTCTCGTCTCAATTTATAAAATTCACCATCACCCTTCCTCGCTCTCCTTTCGTATGGAAAAAAAAAAAAAAGGAATGTGGACCAACACAACTCTTAATGCAATAAACGCCTAACTTGCCGTTTACTTTTTAACCACCTGAAACACCTCGTATTCCATCACCCAAAACTTATTCAACGTCGTCACTCTCTCGCTGTAATCATCTTTGTCACTACTGCAGCTGTCGTAAGCGTTAAAGTTAGTCTTCATCCACAATCCTTTGTCTCCAAAACACGGCCCATATGTCTTATCCTTAATTCTTATTGCGTATCCGGGACGTCTAACACGGCTTAATTTGCCATTCAATCGTCTCTCGTTACTTTGTCCGCCATTGCTATTCCTAGTATTATCGTCATTTCCATTCACTCTATTCTCATTTTCGCTTGAATATCCAGAATTGCTGCCGATCGGTTTGATATCGCTCATTCCGATTCCACTATTATTATTGTTAGAATTGATGGTTGATTTGGGGAATGAGAACAGGAAACTATTCTGTGTATTAATCCGAAAGTCACCGGTGGTCCATTCGATGGGATTATATCCACCGATCAATTCACCGCTACACGCTATTTGCATCACTGTAATTGTTGCGCCTTGTTTGTCGCATTTCTCGTGGAAGGTTTCGGCCTCAAATCCATCACGGCTTCCGCGCACCAATAACTTCAATTTATAAGGAATTTCATCAAAAGTGTATGGTTTTCCGTCTTTACGATCAATCCAATCGCACAAGAGAGCAACATGTTCGGTTCTTAATAAGGTGGAGTCAAAGGGAATTGTCCTAGGTGGTTGGAAATATCGAGAGATGTTTAACAGAGACTGCGGTGATGAGATCGAATAGTCGAGAGACTGTGAAGAGGAGTTTGGGTGAGTGACAGCGTGATAGGACAAGTTGGAGGAAAGCATGATGTGACGCTTGAGGTGATATTGGAGGACATCCTCCCTGAGATCGTCCGGAAGAATCTTCTGAAATGGCCAAACTTTGTCATAGAAATCGCTCGAGGAAATTTGAAAGAATCTAATCAATGGAATACAATTGTGTAATATTCTTTCGAGTTCCATAAAATCTTCATTACTCCAGTTAGATAGATCGACGTTATTTGCGTCCACCCCATTGGTGTCGATGGCAGGAGAGTTATCCTCGGAAAATGTTGACGCATCGATCGAAACGAATGATGATGAGGTGGATGAAGACGAGGTGGAGAATGAAGAGATGGAGGAATTCAATTCAGACATTTGAGCCAAACCCCATCGAATCAGGTGATCCCAAATGTCAATTTCTTCGGTCTGCAGATCATGTCTACCCAACAATGGCAGCAACAATGCTTCCTCAAATTCCAAAAAATTCTTTGATCCAAATACCAACATGGGACTTTTGCATATGGTATCCAAACAAAAGTCTTGCAATTTTTTGCACCCTTCGTGTGGATAGATGGTTCGATGCACTTTTACCACGTTACGCTTAACCCATTCGAATTTTGTGTGCAGAAGGTAATTTTGGATGTGATCGAATAATTCTGACAGCAACAGTTCATCGGAGGCTATGAGCAAATCCAAGATGTCGTGATTTTTCTGACGGCTAAGATTGATCGTCCCGCTATACATGTATCTATCATCCATGATAATGGTATGTTTAGAGGATATTGTTATTCACGATAAACACAGCAATCTGACCTTACCCACTCATCTCACCTTTTAAGAATTAAATACTTACTTTAAAATGAGATCAAATACCACCGGAGAAATATTGGGTTTGGTGAACACTGTAAAATTACCTTCTTTCCTAGCCCACTGGCTGGCAAGCGCGGTGCGAAAATAAGGTGATCTCGCACGTAATATGACTGAATGGGCGCGAAAAGATTTCTCCTTATCGGGTTCTCCTACTCGGATTTCAACATCATAATCATCAGATCCGTCAAGCAATTGGTGAAAATCTTGAGAGAGCGATACATAAAATTCCGTGGTCATTTTTTTCCCTTGTGTGTAA